CCCACTCACTCTTACACTCACCCACTCACTCTTACACTCACCCACCCACTCAGTCTTACACTCACCTACCCACTCACTCTTACACTCACCCACCCACTCTTTCCCTCACCCACTCACTCTTTCCCTCACCCACTCACTCTTACACTCACCCACCCACTCACTCTTACACTCATCCACCCACTCACTCTTACACTCACCCACCCACTCACTCTTACACCCACCCACTCACTCTTACACCCACCCACTCACTCTTACACTCACCCACTCACTCTTACACTCACCCACCCACTCACTCTTACAATCACCCACCCACTCACTCTTACACTCACCCACCCACTCACTCTTACACTCACCCACCCACTCACTCTTACACTCACCCACCCACTCACTCTTACACTCACCCACCCACTCACTCTTACACTCACCCACCCACTCACTCTTACACTCACCCACTCACTCTGACACTCACCCACCCACTCACTCTTACACTCACCCACCCACTCACTCTTACACTCACCCACTCACTCACTCTCACACTCACCCACCCACTCACTCTTACACTCACCCACTCACTCTTACACTCACCCACCCACTCACTCTTACACTCACCCACCCACTCACTCTTACACTCACCCACCCACTCACTCTTACACTCACCCACCCACTCACTCTTACACTCACCCACCCACTCACTCTTACACTCACCCACCCACTCACTCTTACACTCACCCACCCACTCACTCTTACACTCACCCACCCACTCACTCTTACACTCACCCACCCACTCACTCTTACACTCACCCACCCACTCACTCTTACACTCACCCACCCACTCACTCTTACACTCACCCACCCACTCACTCTTACACTCACCCACCCACTCACTCTTACACTCACCCACCCACTCACCCACTCACTCTTACACTCACCCACTCACTCTTACACTCACCCACCCACTCACTCTTACACTCACCCACTCACTCACTCTCACACTCACCCACCCACTCACTCTTACACTCACCCACTCACTCTTACACTCACCCACCCACTCAGTCTTACACTCACCTACCCACTCACTCTTACACTCACCCACCCACTCACTCTTACACTCACCCACCCACTCACTCTTACACTCACCCACTCACTCTTACACTCACCCACTCACTCTTACACTCACCCACCCACTCACTCTTACACTCACCCACTCACTCACTCTTACACTCACCCACTCACTCACTCTCACACTCACCCACCTACTCACTCTTACACCCACCCACTCAGTCTTACACTCACCTACCCACTCACTCTTACACTCACCCACCCACTCTTTCCCTCACCCACTCACTCTTTCCCTCACCCACTCACTCTTACACTCACCCACCCACTCACTCTTACACTCACCCACCCACTCACTCTTACACTCACCCACCCACTCACTCTTACACTCACCCACCCACTCACTCTTACACTCACCCACCCACTCACTCTTACACCCACCCACTCACTCTTACACCCACCCACTCACTCTTACACTCACCCACTCACTCTTACACTCACCCACCCACTCACTCTTACAATCACCCACCCACTCACTCTTACACTCACCCACCCACTCACTCTTACACTCACCCACCCACTCACTCTTACACTCACCCACCCACTCACTCTTACACTCACCCACCCACTCACTCTTACACTCACCCACCCACTCACTCTTACACTCACCCACCCACTCACTCTTACACTCACCCACCCACTCACTCTTACACTCACCCACCCACTCACTCTTACACTCACCCACCCACTCACTCTTACACTCACCCACCCACTCACTCTTACACTCACCCACCCACTCACTCTTACACTCACCCACCCACTCACTCTTACACTCACCCACCCACTCACTCTTACACTCACCCACCCACTCACTCTTACACTCACCCACCCACTCACTCTTACACTCACCCACCCACTCACTCTTACACTCACCCACCCACTCACTCTTACACTCACCCACCCACTCACTCTTACACTCACCCACCCACTCACTCTTACACTCACCCACCCACTCACTCTTACACTCACCCACCCACTCACTCTTACACTCACCCACCACTCACTCTTACACTCACCCACCCACTCACTCTTACACTCACCCACCCACTCACTCTTACACTCACCCACCCACTCACTCTTACACTCACCCACCCACTCACTCTTACACTCACCCACCCACTCACTCTTACACTCACCCACCCACTCACTCTTACACTCACCCACCCACTCACTCTTACACTCACCCACCCACTCACTCTTACACTCACCCACCCACTCACTCTTACACTCACCCACCCACTCACTCTTACACTCACCCACCCACTCACTCTTACACTCACCCACCCACTCACTCTTACACTCACCCACCCACTCACTCTTACACTCACCCACCCACTCACTCTTACACTCACCCACCCACTCACTCTTACACTCACCCACCCACTCACTCTTACACTCACCCACCCACTCACTCTTACACTCACCCACCCACTCACTCTTACACTCACCCACCCACTCACTCTTACACTCACCCACCCACTCACTCTTACACTCACCCACCCACTCACTCTTACACTCACCCACCCACTCACTCTTACACTCACCCACCCACTCACTCTTACACTCACCCACCCACTCACTCTTACACTCACCCACCCACTCACTCTTACACTCACCCACCCACTCACTCTTACACTCACCCACCCACTCACTCTTACACTCACCCACCCACTCACTCTTACACTCACCCACCCACTCACTCTTACACTCACCCACCCACTCACTCTTACACTCACCCACCCACTCACTCTTACACTCACCCACCCACTCACTCTTACACTCACCCACCCACTCACTCTTACACTCACCCACCCACTCACTCTTACACTCACCCACCCACTCACTCTTACACTCACCCACCCACTCACTCTTACACTCACCCACCCACTCACTCTTACACTCACCCACCCACTCACTCTTACACTCACCCACCCACTCACTCTTACACTCACCCACCCACTCACTCTTACACTCACCCACCCACTCACTCTTACACTCACCCACCCACTCACTCTTACACTCACCCACCCACTCACTCTTACACTCACCCACCCACTCACTCTTACACTCACCCACCCACTCACTCTTACACTCACCCACCCACTCACTCTTACACTCACCCACCCACTCACTCTTACACTCACCCACCCACTCACTCTTACACTCACCCACCCACTCACTCTTACACTCACCCACCCACTCACTCTTACACTCACCCACCCACTCACTCTTACACTCACCCACCCACTCACTCTTACACTCACCCACCCACTCACTCTTACACTCACCCACCCACTCACTCTTACACTCACCCACCCACTCACTCTTACACTCACCCACCCACTCACTCTTACACTCACCCACCCACTCACTCTTACACTCACCCACCCACTCACTCTTACACTCACCCACCCACTCACTCTTACACTCACCCACCCACTCACTCTTACACTCACCCACCCACTCACTCTTACACTCACCCACCCACTCACTCTTACACTCACCCACCCACTCACTCTTACACTCACCCACCCACTCACTCTTACACTCACCCACCCACTCACTCTTACACTCACCCACCCACTCACTCTTACACTCACCCACCCACTCACTCTTACACTCACCCACCCACTCACTCTTACACTCACCCACCCACTCACTCTTACACTCACCCACCCACTCACTCTTACACTCACCCACCCACTCACTCTTACACTCACCCACCCACTCACTCTTACACTCACCCACCCACTCACTCTTACACTCACCCACCCACTCACTCTTACACTCACCCACCCACTCACTCTTACACTCACCCACCCACTCACTCTTACACTCACCCACCCACTCACTCTTACACTCACCCACCCACTCACTCTTACACTCACCCACCCACTCACTCTTACACTCACCCACCCACTCACTCTTACACTCACCCACCCACTCACTCTTACACTCACCCACCCACTCACTCTTACACTCACCCACCCACTCACTCTTACACTCACCCACCCACTCACTCTTACACTCACCCACCCACTCACTCTTACACTCACCCACCCACTCACTCTTACACTCACCCACCCACTCACTCTTACACTCACCCACCCACTCACTCTTACACTCACCCACCCACTCACTCTTACACTCACCCACCCACTCACTCTTACACTCACCCACCCACTCACTCTTACACTCACCCACCCACTCACTCTTACACTCACCCACCCACTCACTCTTACACTCACCCACCCACTCACTCTTACACTCACCCACCCACTCACTCTTACACTCACCCACCCACTCACTCTTACACTCACCCACCCACTCACTCTTACACTCACCCACCCACTCACTCTTACACTCACCCCACCCACTCACTCTTACACTCACCCACCCACTCACTCTTACACTCACCCACCCACTCACTCTTACACTCACCCACCCACTCACTCTTACACTCACCCACCCACTCACTCTTACACTCACCCACCCACTCACTCTTACACTCACCCACCCACTCACTCTTACACTCACCCACCCACTCACTCTTACACTCACCCACCCACTCACTCTTACACTCACCCACTCACTCTTACACTCACCCACCCACTCACTCTTACACTCACCCACTCACTCACTCTCACACTCACCCACCCACTCACTCTTACACTCACCCACTCACTCTTACACTCACCTACCCACTCACTCTTACACTCACCCACCCACTCTTTCCCTCACCCACTCACTCTTACACTCACCCACTCACTCTTACACTCACCCACTCACTCTCACACTCACCCACTCACTCTTACACTCACCCACCCACTCACCCACTCACTCTTACACTCACCCGCACATTGACCACGAAGCATGAACACAGATCCGGTATCAATGTTCGTGATTCCTTCGCCGCTCGCTCTTAAAACGCGCCACGGGACACTTGAGATTCACAGACCGTCCGCTAGCGAATGTACACTTATAAATTACACAACGGTTAATATGAAATAAGGCACTTTTTTCACATCTAAGTCATTAATCATTATTATAGTTATAATCAGTATTGTAGTCGTCACATCATCACAGGAGAGACGTCGCGACCTAACCCGGTCTGCATTCACGTTCGCCACTTTAAACTCCTTTATTCAACCACGTGAGAGTTCCCCGTTGAGATTCAAGGTCTCTGATTGGCTGAACTCCTTTATTCAACCACGTGAGAGTTCCCCGTTGAGATGCAAGGTCTCTGATTGGCTGAACTCCTTTATTCAACCACGTGAGAGTTCCCCGTTGAGATTCAAGGTCTCTGATTGGCTGAACTCCTTTATTCAACCACGTGAGAGTTCCCCGTTGAGGTTCACGGTCTCTGATTGGCTGAACTCCTTTATTCAACCACGTGAGAGTTCCCCGTTGAGATTCAAGGTTCCTGATTGGCTGAACTCCTTTTTTCAACCACGTGAGAGTTCCCCTTTCGACGTCTCTGATTGGCTGAACTCCTTTATTCAACCACGTGAGAGTTCCCCGTTGAGATTCAAGGTCTCTGATTGACTGAACTCCTTTATTCAACCACGTGAGAGTTCCCCGTTGAGATTCAAGGACTCTGATTGGCTGAACTCCTGTATTCAACCACGTGAGAGTTCCCCGTTGAGATTTAAGGACTCTGATTGGCTGAACTCCTTTATTCAACCACGTGATAGTTCCCCGTTGAGATTCAAGGTTCCTGATTGGCTGAACTCCTTTATTCAACCACGTGAGAGTTCCCCGTTGAGATTTAAGGACTCTGATTGGCTGAACTCCTTTATTCAACCACGTGATAGTTCCCCGTTGAGATTCAAGGTTCCTGATTGGCTGAACTCCTTTATTCAACCACGTGAGAGTTCCCCGTTGAGATTCAAGGTCTCTGATTGGCTGAACTCCTTTATTCAACCACGTGAGAGTTCCCCGTTGAGGTTCAAGGTCTCTGATTGGCTGAACTCCTTTATTCAACCACGTGAGAGTTCCCCGTTGAGATTCAAGGTTCCTGATTGGCTGAACTCCTTTATTCAACCACGTGAGAGTTCCCCATTCGACGTCTCTGATTGGCTGAACTCCTTTATTCAACCACGTGAGAGTTCCCCGTTGAGATTCAAGGTCTCTGATTGGCTGAACTCCTTTATTCAACCACGTGAGAGTTCCCCATTGAGATTCAAGGACTCTGATTGGCTGAACTCCTTTATTCAACCACGTGAGAGTTTCCCGTTGAGATTCAAGGACTCTCATTGGCTGAACTCCTTTATTCAACCACGTGAGAGTTCCCCGTTGAGATTCAACGACTCTGATTGGCTGAACTCCTTTATTCAACCACGTGATAGTTCCCCGTTGAGATTCAAGGTTCCTGATTGGCTGAACTCCTTTATTCAACCACGTGAGAGTTCCCCGTTGAGATTCAAGGTCTCTGATTGGCTGAACTCCTTTATTCAACCACGTGAGAGTTCCCTATTGAGATTCAAGGACTCTGATTGGCTGAACTCCTTTATTCAACCACGTGATAGTTCCCCGTTGAGATTCAAGGTTCCTGATTGGCTGAACTCCTTTATTCAACCACGTGAGAGTTCCCCGTTGAGATTTAAGGACTCTGATTGGCTGAACTCCTTTATTCAACCACGTGAGAGTTCCCCATTCGACGTCTCTGATTGGCTGAACTCCTTTATTCAACCACGTGAGAGCTCCCCGTTGAGATTCAAGGTCTCTGATTGGCTGAACTCCTTTATTCAACCACGTGAGAGTTCCCTATTGAGATTCAAGGACTCTGATTGGCTGAACTCCTTTATTCAACCACGTGATAGTTCCCCGTTGAGATTCAAGGACTCTGATTGGCTGAACTCCTTTATTCAACCACGTGAGAGTTCCCCATTCGACGTCTCTGATTGGCTGAACTCCTTTATTCAACCACGTGAGAGTTCCCCGTTGAGATTCAAGGTCTCTGAGTGGCTGAACTCCTTTATTCAACCACGTGAGAGTTCCCCGTTGAGATTCAAGGTCTCTGATTGGCTGAACTCCTTTATTCAACCACGTGAGAGTTCCCCGTTGAGATTCAAGGTCTCTGATTGGCTGAACTCCTTTATTCAACCACGTGAGAGTTCCCCGTTGAGATTCAAGGACTCTGATTGGCTGAACTCCTTTATTCAACCACGTGAGAGTTCCCCGTTGAGATTCAAGGACTCTGATTGGCTGAACTCCTTTATTCAACCACGTGATAGTTCCCCGTTGAGATTCAAGGTTCCTGATTGGCTGAACTCCTTTATTCAACCACGTGAGAGTTCCCCGTTGAGATTCAAGGACTCTGATTGGCTGAACTCCTTTATTCAACCACGTGAGAGTTCCCCGTTGAGATTCAAGGTCTCTGATTGGCTGAACTCCTCTATTCAACCACGTGAGAGTTCCCCGTTGAGATTCAAGGTCTCTGATTGGCTGAACTCCTCTATTCAACCACGTGAGAGTTCCCCGTTGAGGTTCCACGTCTCTGGCGACTGACGGCGCACGGTCCCGCTCACAACCCCTCCCCGCCTCGCGTCGCGTCCTACTTATAGGTAGACTCAGCCCCCCCAAAAAAAACACACACTCAAACAAACAAACCTACCTATTATCGTTGACGTAAATGGTTTTCAATAACTTTGCTTGCCGAGTTGTAAAAAGTGTCTATGTACACACACGCACGCGCACGCACGCGCACGTTTCATCGTTTGGCACATTGATCAAAGGACGATTTAAAACTTAAACTCACGGGGGGGGGGGGAGGGGGGGGAAATATTAAAATTGCAAAAACTTTAACCGAACATTTTTTTGTGTTTTCGATTTAAAGCTTTGCGTGACCGCCGCGATTCGCATTCTTGGTTCTTTCGGTAAAGTCACCACGCAGAAGGGAAGTAACACATTCCATTGGTTTATCTTTCTTACTTTTATTAATCCCACCTTCCGCGTGACTTTACCGAAAGGACCAAGAAATATGAAGGAGGAGAGAGAAAAAAAAGCGCCCAAGGCGCAGCATTCTGAAAATCCCCGACTCGTGTCACTGCTCATGGAATAGGAGGAAGACTCCCAACTCCTCGAGGCAGAGGGAGGGAGGGGGGTAGCTTTAGAGGGGGGTGGGGGTCCCCCCTTCTAGAGAGTAAGGGGGAGAGGGTTCGAGAGGTGGGGGGGGCCTCCATAGAGAGAGAGGGGGGGCGTGAGAAAGTGGGGCCTTCCAGAGAAGAGATGGAGGGAGGCTCTAGCAAGCGGTTAATTACAAGCCCGGCCGAGAGCCGCAACTCCAAACCAGCCCATCAAGTGAGCCTCCCGCAACAATAATAATAATTAAGGCGCGCGAGTTTTGAGTCGAAGCGAAAACGAGCGGCGATTGTAATGCCTTTGCGATTACAAAATAATGATGATCAAATTAAAAAAAAAATGTTCATAAAATATTGATAAAATAAAAATGTACAAAATGTTTATGAAATTAAAAATTACGAAATATTGATCAACTCTAATGATTTGTTTTAGATTGAAGGCTGAAGACGGGGAGATAAGTTTTGACCACCGGCCACCACCGTGCCCAAAGCAAGCGGCTAATTACAAGCCCGGCACAGCCACTCCAAAACCGGTCCATCAAGTGAGCCTCCCGCAATAATTAAGGCGCGCGATTTTGAGTCGGAGCGAAAGTGAGCGGTAATTGTTTTTGTTTACAATTACAAAATAACGATGATACCGATGCAAATATGTTTACACAATAATAATGATGGGATGAAAATGACAACAAAAATTATTACAACTATATCAATTTTGACTCGCCTTGTTGAAATGAAGAACTTGGAAATCTGCGGATTTTTTTTTTTTGAAATGACGAGGAAATTCCGTACGGGAAAAAAAAATCTCGCGGAACGGCACGCGGAAGCGGACATCACAGAGCTATCCCCGAGATCCCCCTCTTCTCCTTCTTCAGGTGACGCTCCGATCCACCCTCATCCAGTAGAGGGCAGCACGTCCCCGATGGATCTGTGCCACGCGTGAGCGGCGTTCATTGCTTGCCAGTGAAACCTCCGATGCTGCGACTATTGGTTACAACGCTACGGGTCCTCCATGCGAGTCTTTGGTTAGTTGTAGGTGTCTATGCGAGTCTATGAATCTCTAGGCGAGTCTATGGGTCTCTGTGCGTGTCCACGGGTCTCTGTGCGAGGCTACGGGTCTCTGTGTGAGTCTACGGGTCTGTGTGCGAGTCTACGGGTCTCTGTGGGAGTCTATGGGTCTCTGTGTGAGTCTACGGGTCTCTGTGCGAGTCTATGGGTCTCTGTGTGAGTCTACGGGTCTGTGTGCGAGTCTATGGGTCTGTGTGCGAGTCTACGGGTCTCTGTGGGAGTCTATGGGTCTCTGTGTGAGTCTACGGGTCTCTGTGCGTGTCCACGGGTCTCTGTGCGAGTCTACGGGTCTCTGTGCGTGTCCACTGGTCTCGGTGCGAGGCTACGGGTCTCTGTGCGAGTCTATGGGTCTCTGTGCGTGTCCACGGGTCTCTGTGCGAGTCAACGGGTCTCTGTGGGAGTCTACGGGTCTCTGTGGGTGTCTACGGGTCTCTGTGCGAGTCTACGGGTCTCTGTGCGTGTCTACGGGTCTCTGTGCGAGGCTACGGGTCTCTGTGCGTGTCCATGGGTCTCTCTGAGAGTCCACGGGTCTCTGTGCGAGTCTATGGGTCTCTGTGCGAGTCTACGGGTCTCTGTGTGAGTCTGTGGGTCTCTGTGCGAGTCTACGGGTCTCTGTGTGAGTCTACGGGTCTCTGTGCGTGTCCACGGGTCTCTGTGCGAGTCTACGGGTCTCTGTGCGAGTCTACGGGTCTCTGTGGGTGTCTACGGGTCTCTGTGCGAGTCTATGGATCTCTGTGTGAGTCTGTGGGTCTCTGTGCGAGTCTACGGGTCTCTGTGCGAGTCTACGGCTCTCTGTGTGAGTCTACGGGTCTCTGTGCGTGTCCACGGGTCTCTGTGCGAGTCTATGGGTCTCTGTGGGTGTCTACGGCGACCACTCTGAGGCCATCAACTCATGGCGCTAGAGAAACCCGGGGTTCAATCGTCAAAATGAATCCTGACGTGCGGGGAACGTGGAATCTGCCCGCACCACGACTCTTCCCTGGCACGGCTGATTATCCCAGAGGCGTGCAAACGAGAGGACGCTAAGTGAGATGACGCTAAGCGAGATGACGCTAAGTGAGATGACGCTAAGTGAGATGACGCTAAGCGAGATGACGCTAAGTGAGATGACGCTAAGTGAGATGACGCTAAGCGAGATGACGCTAAGTGAGACGACGCTAAGTGAGATGACGCTAAGTGAGATGACGCTAAGTGAGATGACGCTAAGTGAGACGACGCTAAGTGAGATGACGCTAAGTGAGACGACGCTAAGTGAGACGACGCTAAGTGAGATGACGCTAAGTGAGATGACGCTAAGCGAGACGACGCTAAGTGAGATGACGCTAAGTGAGACGACGCTAAGTGAGATGACGCTAAGTGAGATGACGCTAAGTGAGATGACGCTAAGTGAGACGACGCTAAGTGAGACGACGCTAAGTGAGATGACGCTAAGTGAGATGACGCTAAGTGAGATGACGCTAAGCGAGATGACGCTAAGTGAGATGACGCTAAGTGAGATGACGCTAAGTGAGATGACGCTAAGTGAGATGACGCTAAGTGAGATGACGCTAAGTGAGATGACGCTAAGTGAGATGATGCTAAGTGAGACGACGCTAAGTGAGATGACGCTAAGTGAGACGACGCTAAGTGAGATGACGCTAAGTGAGAGGACGCTAAGTGAGATGACGCTAAGTGAGATGACGCTAAGTGAGATGACGCTAAGTGAGATGACGCTAAGTGAGACGACGCTAAGTGAGATGACGCTAAGTGAGATGACGCTAAGTGAGATGACGCTAAGTGAGATGACGCTAAGTGAGACGACGCTAAGTGAGATGACGCTAAGCGAGATGACGCTAAGTGAGATGACGCTAAGTGAGATGACGCTAAGTGAGACGACGCTAAGTGAGATGACGCTAAGTGAGATGACGCTAAGTGACACGACGCTAAGTGAGATGACGCTAAGTGAGATGACGCTAAGTGAGATGACGCTAAGTGAGATGACGCTAAGTGAGACGACGCTAAGTGAGATGACGCTAAGTGAGATGACGCTAAGTGAGATGACGCTAAGTGAGATGACGCTAAGTGAGATGACGCTAAGTGAGATGACGCTAAGTGAGATGACGCTAAGTGAGACGACGCTAAGTGAGACGACGCTAAGCGAGATGACGCTAAGTGAGATGACGCTAAGTGAGATGACGCTAAGCGAGATGACGCTAAGCGAGATGACGCTAAGCGAGACGACGCTAAGTGAGATGACGCTAAGTGAGATGACGCTAAGTGAGATGACACTAAGTGAGATGACGCTAAGTGAGACGACGCTAAGTGAGATGACGCTAAGTGAGATGACGCTAAGTGAGACGACGCTAAGTGAGAAGACGCTAAGCGAGATGACGCTAAGTGAGACGACGCTAAGTGAGATGACGCTAAGTGAGATGACGCTAAGTGAGATGACGCTAAGTGAGATGACGCTAAGTGAGATGACGCTAAGCGAGATGACGCTAAGTGAGATGACGCTAAGTGAGATGACGCTAAGCGAGATGACGCTAAGTGAGATGACGCTAAGTGAGATGACGCTAAGCGAGATGACGCTAAGTGTGATGACGCTAAGCGAGATGACGCTAAGTGAGACGACGCTAAGTGTGATGACGCTAAGTGTGCCGTGTTCCAGCCACCCGGTAAGCATGCAACACACGGTCCACATATCCCGGGCACCCGGTAAACTTCCAACGTCAGGCCAACGTTGACCCAACGTTGGCCCAACGTTCCATGTTTACTCGGGGCAAGGAGTGAAGCGATACGAGCAGCCGCCGGAGTCGTTTGAGGCTGCTCGTTGAGGGGGAGGGGTTGGAGGGGGGTGGGGGGTTTGGGGGGGGTTGGGGGGGGGCTGGGGGGGGGGCTCTGTTAATGAGTGAACGACTTCCAATCGACCTCCTGGCTCGCTCAGGCACGTGGGGCAGCCGTCGCTGCCCCGACCCCCAACGGTGTGTAAACGGACGTCGGACGGACGTCGGTCGGACGTCGGACGGACGTTTCGCGCAAACAAACAGCGGCGGACTTCCCGCACGGACGATCACGTGTTTTACTGGGCGCCCCGGAATACACGGAACGTCGGGCCAACGTCGGCCCAACGTCGGCCCAACGTCGGCCCAACGTCGGACCCAACGGGTCCAACTGCTGGCGGGAAGTGGCCTCCTCCACTCGACGGGACTCCGGAGGGGAAGTATGGACAGATGACAGTTCCTGGCCAAAGGATAAATTGACTTTGCGGTTCCTTAAACGTGAACATTTACGATTTTACTCCCAAGTAATAATAATGGAGACCTTGGGTTCAGTTTTTTTTTCCGAGTGAATTGTACGTGTCAGTGTTTAAACAACGGTACGCAAATTCTAACTCGGGTGATTTTTATCTCCACGTTTAAAACGGCTTTTAAAAAATCGCTTTCGGGAGCCGTTAATTGTGGGAAATGTAAAACCACGCAGCGTGCCAGCCAATCATCTGTCAGCTGACCGGCACATCGCATCAGCCGATCATCGGCCAATCATCTGTCAGCTAACCGGCACACCTCAGCAGCCAATCATCCGTCAGATAACCCCAATGCATCAGCCAATCATTTGTCACCTAACCGGCACACCGTATCAGCTAATCATGGTTCCCAGCTCCTCAACCCCAAGGTCTTAGCAGCCAATCACGATTCAGCTAAACGGCACCACGTGAGCCAATCACGCGGCACACCCCAACACGCCGACTCCTCAAACGTCCCAGCAGCCAATCACGCCTCAGATAACCGGCACCACGTGAGTCAATCACGCGCCACCCCAACGACCTGACCAGTTAAACATCCCAGCAGCCAATCACGCCTCAGATAACCGGCACCACGTGAGCCAATCACGCGCCACCCCAACGACCTGACCGGCTAAACGTCCCAGCAGCCAATCACGCGTCAGCTAAACCGGGCACCACATGAGCCAATCCCGCGCAACCCGAGAACGACGTGAGCCAATCACGCGCCGCATCCCAACAAACCCGACCTCTCAAACGTCCCGGCAGCCCAATGACGCGTCGGCTAAGCGGCCAACACCGCATCAGCCAATCACGCGCCAGCCCCCCCCCCCACCCCCCCCTCCCACCTCCGCCCCCCCGCGCCACACCCTCCAACCAATCACGCGCCGTCGTCTCCCCACAAGCAGAGGTTACGGGCGGGGACGATGAACTCAAAGGTCCAGCATTTGCTGCAGGCCCGGACTCCGCAGGTCCGCACGTCCGACCCTCCGGGGCTGCCCTCCTCTCGATCTCCTCCCGCGCCCTCCTGCTGCTGCTGCTGCTGCTGCAGGCGCTGCTGCTGCTGCTGCTGCTGCAGCTGAGCCACCTTGCACTTGCGCAGTCCGCACGGCAGCCACTCCACGCAGACGGCGCAGCGGCAGACGCAGGGCGCGGAGGGCGAGCGAGACTCGCGGCACCGCGGAGGCGCCGGCGAGGGCGTCGGCGAAGACGGCGGCGAGAATGAAGGCGGTGAGCCCGGTGGTGGCGAGGGAGCGGGCGAGACGGGGAGGTTGAGCTGAGCGAGGATGGTCATCACCGGGGGGCCGCCGCCTGTGCCAAGGGAGAGGGGGGGGACAAGGGCAAAGATTAAGGTCCCCCGTGTAGCCTCAACACGCTGTTGGGAGGCAAGCGCTGTTTAGCGAGCAGCAGGGGCCGATGAAGGTCGGCACGGCACGCGAGGGGGGTGGGTGGCCAGCACCGCGTTTACACGCCGCTCGGCACCGGGTGCTCATTTGAGGCCGAGTCGACCTAGGGGGAGGCCCATGACCGGTTCGGATAATCGTCGCCGGTGTTGGTGGCTGTGAGCGGGAATCGAACTCGGGTCCTGCCGGGTTCGTAGCGCGGCGTAGCGTTAACCGCTATACACACGCGTGCACGTTACACACACACACACGCATGGCACACGTACACGTCACACACACACACACACACGTCTCACACTCTGTCTGCGTGTCTCTGTGTGTGTCTATGTGTGTTTGTGTCTGTGCGCGTGTCTCTGTGTGTACCTCCTTGTTGGTGCCGGACGGTAACGCTGTGGTGAGCAGTGCCATGGGGGGAGGGCCAATTTCGATTGATCATTCCTCTCACGGCGTTTGTAGCCATCGCAGCGACCAAACGGGGCTCTCGACGGGTGTGAGGGGCTGGTAACCCCTCCACTTTCAATTAATTACCACAAAACCGTGAAAAAAAATATCAGCTAAGCTTGTGCCAGAGGCCTCGAGTCTATGACGTCTCCTGGCCAAACTCCATTTTACAGAGCTAGGAGATTGAATCTCTACCCTCAGGGTTCCTCCAGAAACAGCAAAAAGCCACTGCGGATGGCCACGTGGAATGTTCGAATGCTCACTGCGGAGGAGAGGCTGCCACTCCTCTGTCGGGAGCTGGACCGGTACCGCCTGGATCTCTGTGGCATTCAGGAGGTCCGGTGGACCAGCTCTGGCTCCTGCCACCATGAGGGGTGGACAGTCCTCTATTCGGGGCAACAGACTGCCAAACAACAGGGTGTGGCTCTTCTTTTGAACAAAAGAATGAAGGGGGCGTGGGAGCGTGGCTGTGAGGTGTGGGAAGCTGTAAGCCCCAGGCTACTTTGGGCTCGCCTTCCCATCAACCGAAGGCGAGGAGTGGTGGTCGTGGTTACTTATGCCCCCACCGAACACGAACATCCGTGGAGGGATGCAGGCACAAGGCCGATGAGTCGGATGCCTTCTATGACCTCCTGTCACAGGTGCTGGCTCAAGTGGCCCCTCAGGATAGAGTCATCATGTTGGGTGACTTCAATGCCCGAGTTGGTCATGATGCTGGCACCTGGTCCTGAAGTGATTGGAAGGCATGGGCCAGATCAGCTCAATAACAACGGTAGGAGGCTGCTAGATTTTTGTGCAGCCCATGGGCTTGTAATTACCAACACGCTGTTCCGGCATCGGCGCATCCACACAACATCATGGATGCATGCCGGGTCCAAGCAAGAACATCTGCTAGACTACATAGTGACGGACCAGCGGATGCGAGCCCATGTGCTTGACACCAGGACCTACCGTGGAGCTGATCTGCCCACTGACCATCGATTTTTCATCTGTAAGATGCGCCTGCCAGGACCCCATTCAAACCCACAGTGGCCTGGTCTCAGTTATCTGATGAAAGTTACAAGTGAGGATTTCATGATGGCTTGCAGCTGGGGTTGACATCGTCCCGCACTTCTGATGCCGAGGGTAAATGGGTGAGGTTTAGGACTGTGGCTCATGCGGCTGCAATGGCTGCTTTGAGTACACGGTCCAAAGCTCCCCAGAGACCCTGGCTGACAGAGGAGGCGTTCAGGATAGTTGAGAAAAAGCGACAGGCCCACTGTCATCGGCTACAGAATCCCACGTCAGAGAATGAGGAGGCTTACCGCAGCCTTCGCTCGGAGGTTCGGAGAGCCGTGAGGCGCTGCAAGGATGGGTGGTGGTCGCAGGTTGCTGAGGAGATGGAGTCTGCCTCAGTGGCCCGTGATCACAAATCTCTATTTAACTCCATCAAAAAAATAATCTGCAGTGCCACACCTATTACCATCATTAGGGGAAAGAACGGTGATCCAATCTCTGACCCCCAGAAACAGGTTTGTAGATTTGCTGAGCATTTCTGTGAGGTCCTGGGGGAGGGGAAAATTCTTCAGCCTAGAAAACATTGTGGGCAAAGTGGGGATGACCCTGCTGAGGCTGCGGTGCCTCAAATATTGGAGGAGGAAGTCACCCCCTGTGAGTGGCTGGCTGAAGTGCCATCTGTTGAGGAAGTACTGAAGGCGATCCAGAGTCTGAGACCAGGAAAGGCAGCGGGCAGAGATGATCTCCCAAGCGAAATGCTGAGGGAGGGTGGCGTTTGTGCACTATATGACATCATAACAACAGTCTGGACCACTGGACGGGTTCCGCAGGATTGGAAGGATGCCTTGGTGGTCCCCCTCTTTAAGAAGGGGGACCGCACAGACTGTAACAACTACAGGGGCATCTCACTCCTCAGTGTGCCGGGAAAGGCCCTGGCAAGGATTATTCAGCATCGCCTCGCCAGGCACGCTGAGGAGAGGCTTGCGGAGCCCCAATGCGGTTTCAGGAAAGGGCGGTCCTGCACGGATGCCATATTTCCTGTCCGTACTGCCACAGCGGAGGTGTAGGGAATTCCAGCAGGACCTACATCTCTGCTTCGTTGACCTGGTCAAGGCCTACGATACCATCGGCAGGCCTGGGCCCCGGGTTGTCCTTCGTGCTGTTCGGAGGTCCCGGACTCTCCGTGCGCGTCTCTGCGTGCGTCTCACCGCGGTTGAGGGCCCGCACGGTGTCCGCGTTGCTGTAGGCCGCGTCCCACGCGTCGCTGCAGGCGCTGTAGAGCCGGGCAGCACGCTCCGTCGCGTTGCTCAGCGCCACCAGCAGCTCCATGCGCAGCGTCTCACCGGGCCGGCTCTCTCCCGCACCGCGCACCACCGCCGAGTTCCGCTGCACCGCCACACCGCCACACAGCACCGCTCACCGCAACGCTCACCGCAGCACAGCGGGGTTCCCTCTGTGTCGCCGCCGCCGCCGCCACCGCACCGTTCACCACAACACCGCTCACCACCGCACCGCTCACCACCGCGAGAGTTCCTCTGTGCCGCCACCACCGCCACCACCGCCACCACACTGCACATCACACCACTCACACCACTCACACCATGGCGTTCCTCTGTACTGCCGCCACCATCACACCCCACACACCACACACACACCACACCACTCACACACACCACACACACACCACACACACACCACACACACCACACACACACCACACCACTCACACACACCACACACCACCACACACCACACACACACACCACTCACACACACCACACACCACCACACACCACACACACACCACTCACACCACACACACCACACACACACCACACACACACCACACAAACACCACACACACCACACACACACCACACACCACCACACCACCACACCACACACACACCACACACACACCACACACACACCACACACCACACACACACCACACACACCACACCTCAACACCCACCACACACACCACACCCCACACACACACCACACACACACACCACACACACCACACCACACCCACACACCACACACACACCACATACACACCACACCACACACTCCACGCACACCACACACACAATACACACCACACACACCACACCACACACACCACACCACACACACACACCACACACACACCACATACACACCACACACTCCACGCACACCACACACACCACACACACCACACCACACACACCACATACACCACACACACCACACACCACATACACTACACACACCACACACACACCATACACACCACATACACACCACACACACCCCACACACACACCACACCACACACGCCACACACGCCACACACGCCACACACACACACCACACCACACACACCACATACACCACACACACCACACCACACACACCACACACACCACACACACACCACACACACCACACACACCACACACACCACACACATACACACACCACACACCACACACACCACACACACCACACACACACCACACACACACACCACACACGCCACACACACACCACACCACACACACCACACACACACACCACACACCACACACCACACACACCACACACACCACACACACCACACACACACACCACACACACCACACACACCACACACACCACACACACACACCACACACACCACACACACACACACCACACACACCACACACACACACCACACACACACACCACACACACACCACACACACACACCACACACACACCACACACACACACCACACACACCACACACCACACACACACCACACACACCACACACCACACCACACCACACACACACACACCACACACACACCACACACCACACACACACCACACACACCACACACACACCACACACACCACACACACCACACACACCACACACATACACACACCACACACCACACACACCACACACACCACACACACACCACACACACACACCACACACGCCACACACACACCACACCACACACACCACACACACACACCACACACCACACACACCACACACACCACACACACCACACACACCACACACACACACCACACACACCACACACACCACACACACCACACACACACACCACACACACCACACACACACACCACACACACACACCACACACACACCACACACACCACACACACCACACACACACCACACACCACACACACCACACACACACCACACACACCACACACACACCACACACACACACACCACACACACACACCACACACACACCACACACACCACACACACACCACACACACCACACACACACCACACACACACACACCACACACACCACACACACACCACACACACCACACACACACACACCACACACGACCATCGTGAACCCAGGCGTCAGAGTCTGCCCAGCTCCTCTCTCACCACCGTGGGGCTCTTCTATAGACTGGTGAGCGGACTGGTGAGCGGGCTGGTGTACAGGCTGGTGAGCGGGCTGGTGAGTGGGCTGGTGAGTGGAATGGTGAGCAGGCTGGTGAGCGGGTTGGTGAGCGGGATGGTGAGCAGACTGGTGAGCGGACTGGTGAGCAGGCTAGTGAGCGGACTACTAGTCTGGGCTAGTGAGCGAGCTGTTGAGCAGAATGTGAGCGGGCTGGTGAGCGTGCTGGTGAGCGTGCTGGTGAGCGTGCTGGTGAGCAGACTGGTGAGCGGGCTGGTGAGCGTGCTGGTGAGCGAGTTGGTGAGCGGGCTGGTGAGTGGGCTGGTGAGCGTGCTGGTGATCTGGTGAGCGTGCTGGTGAACTGGTGAGTGGGCTGGTGAGCGTGCTGGTGAGCGTGCTGGTGAGCAGACTGGTGAGCGGGCTGGTGAGCGTGCTGGTGAGCGTGCTGGTGAGCGAGCTGGTGAGCGGGCTGGTGAGTGGGCTGGTGAGCGTGCTGGTGATCTGGTGAGCGTGCTGGTGAACTGGTGAGTGGGCTGGTGAGCGTGCTGGTGAGCGTGCTGGTGAGCAGACTGGTGAGCGGGCTGGTGAGCGTGCTGGTGAGCGAGCTGGTGAGCGGGCTGGTGAGTGGGCTGGTGAGCGTGCTGGTGATCTGGTGAGCGTGCTGGTGAACTGGTGAGTGGGCTGGTGAGCGTGCTGGTGAGCGTGCTGGTGAGCAGGCTGGTGAGCATGCTGGTGAGCATGCTGGTGAGCGGGCTGGTGAGCAGGCTGGTGAGTGAGCTGGTGTACAGGCTGGTGAGCATGCTGGTGAGCGGGCTGGTGAGCGGGCTGGTGAGCGGGCGCCACCTGGCGGAGTTTGCTGACGGACTCGGGCGAGAGGACCTCGCGTGCGTGGAGGCGCGCGATGAAGCAGCTGGTGCGGTATTCATCCTGACCTCGCTCCATCTCGCCCAGCACCAGCACCTTAAACACCTTCACTCCCTGTGTGACACACACACACACAGTGTGACACACACACACACAGTGTGACACACACACACACAGTGTGACACACACACACAGTGTGACACACACACACACAGTGTGACACACACACACACAGTGTGACACACACACACACAGTGTGACACACACACACAGTGTGACACACACACACAGTGTGACACACACACACACAGTGTGACACACACACACACAGTGTGACACACACAGTGTGACACACACAGTGTGACACACACAGTGTGACACACAGTGTGACACACACAGAGTGACACACACACAGTGTGACAAACACAGTGTGACAACAACAACAACCGCCATTCGCCACTAAGTGGCGGTGATGTCACCACGACGCTTGTGCCAGGCTATGTGCACCCTGAGGCCACGTGAAGTGTCGAACACCCGCTGGCAGGAAGTCACGGGGCAGACCCAGGTGCCACGGGTCGACTGACTGAGATGACTGGCTGATGCACCACCTGTGCCCCCTACTGTGCCAACCTGCTGTGCTTTAGCCACCCGGCGCTCCGCTCGTTGTTGTGAGCGTCGCTCCTCCGCCCTCCGTTGTTGTTGGAGGGCGACTGCCTCCAACTGCCCAGTAGCATCCTTCACGAGCCTCCTCCACAGAGGCCGATCTTGACACCGCTGGTACCAGTCATCGGCAAGTCCACTCAGCTCCACGTCCTCCTGTACCACATCACTCCATCTCTTCTCTAGCCCATGCCGCGCCCGCTTAGCCCCCTCGATCCGGCCAAACAAAAGCTGTTTCGGCATGCGGTGGCTGGGCATGCGGGCTACATGACCCAGCCATCGCAGCCTTGCCTGCCGGAGGAGCTCACCGATGGGACCCTGCCCAGATCTTTCAAGGATTTGTGAGCTTCTCACACAATCCAGTCTGGTTAAACCCAGGATGGATCGTAGGCAGGCCAGCCTAAATGTTTCTAACCGGCGAAGATGTTCCATTAGGGGGGTCCACGTTTCGCAAGCGTAGAGAATGACCGTGGCCGAGAAGACCTGAAGCTTAGTGTGGAGCGACAGACCAGGTAGCTTCCACACAGCGTTACGCAACCGATGAAAAGATATTGCCGCTCGACTGATTCGGAGTGAGACCTCTGCTGTTAAACTGGAGCCAGTCATAAGCACACTGCCCAGGTATGGGAAACTCTCCACTCTCTCCACAACTGCCCCATCACCGATTGGGAGTTGTGGGGGTGGAGTGTCCGATGGTACAAAATACCCAGGCAGGTGCTTAGTTTTGGTGGGGCTGATGGTAAGGCCCCACCTCTTAGTGGCACGCTCCAGTCTCAGCAGCAGCATCTCCAACTCCTCCTCTGACTGAGCAGCTATTACCAAATCATCAGCATACATAACGTGGTTGAGCAATAGGGAGCCATCCCTTGACCGCACCCGGGCATCGATTAGCCTCCCATTATATCTGTACCATATGGAGATTCCCCCGGTACAGCTATTGAAGGCTTCACGAACTACGTGGTCAAAATAGATGTTAAATAATGTGGGAGCCAGAGGACATCCCTGTCGCACCCCAAGGTGTATAGGGAATGGCTCTGACTCCCGGCCACGTAGTTTTACCCGGGCCCGCTCACCATCATGAAGGTCCTTAATGATCGTGAGCAGAGGGTCAGGTACTCCAAAAGCACGAAGAACGACCCAGAGCCCAGGCCTACTGATGGTATCATAGGCCTTGACCAAGTCAATAAAGCAGAGATGTAGGTCTTGTTGGAATTCCCTACACCTCTGCTGTAGCAGACGGACAGAAAATATGGCATCTGTGCAGGACCGCCCTTTCCTGAAACCGCATTGGGGCTCCGCAAGCCTCTCCTCAGCGTGCCTGGCAAGGCGATGCTGAATAATCCTTGCCAGGACCTTTCCCGGCACACTGAGGAGTGAGATACCCCTGTAGTTGTTACAGTCTGTGCGGTCCCCCTTCTTAAAAAGGTCCCCCTTCTTAAAAAGGGGGACCACCAGGGCATCTTTCCAATCCTGCGGAACCCGTCCAGTGGTCCAGACTGTTGTTATGATGTCATATAGGGCAGTCCGTGCACAAACGCCGCCCTCCCTCAGCATTTCACTTGGGAGATCATCTCTGCCCGCTGCCTTTCCTGGTCTTAGACTCCGGATCGCCTTCAGTACTTCCTCAACAGATGGCACCTCACCCAGCCACTCACAGGGGGTGACTTCTTCCAATATTTGAGGCACCGCAGCCTCAGCAGGGTCATCCTCACTTTGTGCTACGATGTTTTCCTGGTTGACGGATTTTCCCTCCCTCAGGACCTCACAGAAATGCTCAGCAAATCTGCAAACCTGTTCCTAGGGGTCGGAGATTGGGTCACCGTTTTTTCCCCTAATGATGGTAATAGGTGTGGCGCTGCAGGTTACTTTTTTGATGGAGTTAAATAGAGATTTGTGATCACGGGCCACTGAGGCAGACTCCATCTCCTCAGCAGCCCGCGACCACCACCCATCCTTGCAGCGCCTCACGGCTCTCCGAACCTCCCAGTGAAGGCTGCGGTAAGCCTCCTCATTCTCTGACGTGGGATTCTGTAGCCGATGACAGTGGGCCTGTCGCTTTTTCTCAACCATCCTGAACACCTCTGTCAGCCAGGGTCTCTGGGGAGGTCTAGACCGCGTACCCAAAGCAGCCATTGCAGCTGCATGAGTCACAGTCCTAAACCTCGCCCATTTACCCTCGACATCAGGAGGAGTCGGGGACGATGCCAATCCCAGCCGCAAGCGATGATGAAATTCTCGCTTGCAACTTTCATCAGATAACTGAGACCAGGCCACTTTAGGTTGGAATGGGGTCCTGGGTGTACACCCACCACCAGAGTGGAAGAATGGCAGGCGCATCTTACAGATGACTAGTCGATGGTCAGAGGGCAGATCAGCTCCACGGTAGGTCCTGGTGTCAAGGACATGGGCTAGCATCCGCTGGTCCGTCACTATGTAGTCCAGCAGATGTTCTTGCTTGGACCCGGCATGCATCCATGATGTGCCGATGCCAGAACAGCGTGTTGGTAATTACAAGCCCATGGGCTGCACAAAAATCTAGCAGCCTCCTACCGTTGTTATTGAGCTGATCTGGCCCATGCCCTCCAATCACTCCAGACCAGGTGCCAGCATCATGACCAACTCGGGCATTGAAGTCACCCAACATGATGACTCTATCCCGAGGGGCCACTTTAGCCAGCACCTGTGACAGGAGGTCATAGAAGGCATCTGACTCATCGGCTTTGCCTGCATCCCTCCACGGATGTTCATCTTCGGTGGGGGCATAAGTAACCACGACCACCATTCCTCGCCTCCGGTTGATGGAAAGGCGAGCCCAAAGTAGCCTGGGACTTACAGCTTCCCACACCTCACCGCCGCGCTCCCACGCCCCCTTCATTCTTTTGTTCAAAAGAAGAGCCACACCCTGTTGTTTGGCAGTCTGCTGCCCCGAATAGAGGACTGTCCACCCCTCATGGTGGCAGGAGCCAGAGCCGGTCCACCGGATCTCCTGAATGCCACACAGATCCAGGCGGTACCGGTCCAGCTCCCGACAGAGGAGTGACAGCCTCTCCTCCACAGTGAGCGTTCGAACATTCCACGTGGCCACCCGTAGTGGCTTTTCGTTGTTTCTGGAGGAGCCCCGAGGGTAGATATTCAATCTCCTGGCTCCGCCAATTGTCCGCCACAGGGGTTTAGCCCCTGTGGCGGACACAGTTGCCATGAGGGGAGGAGCCAATCGAAATTGGACCTCCACCCACAGCACTGTCCATGACAGAGTTGCCCGTCCGGCACTGCGAGGAGGTAGAGGGTTGTTTTGCCGGACACACACACTGACACACACACACTGACACACACACACTGACACACATTGACACACACACATTGACACACACACACTGACACACACACTGACACACACACTGACACACACACAGTGACACACACATTGACACAGACACACACACACACACACTGACAAACAGATTGCCCGTATAGCCTTAACAGGGGCAAGCAGACGGATACATTGATGACCTGGCCTCGCCATAGGAATGTTGAATGCCCGTCCCTGGCTCGACGACTTTAGATTCAACATCACATTTAACCCCCGCATTGATCCCAGCATTCACTTGGATGGACTCGCTCCTGCCCTGCTAACGTGGAGTTGACACTCAGCGAGCGCTTATACATTTAGCCCGACTCCACTCTGAAGGAGTGAGTCGGACAATGGGTGGCGTTGGCTGGGTCATGTAGCCCGCATGCCCAGCCACCGCATGCCGAAACAGCTTTTGTTCGGCCGGATCGAGGGGGCTAAATGGGCGCGGCACGGGCTAGAGAAGAGATGGAGTGACGTGGTACAGGAGGACGTGGAGCTGAGTGGACTTGCCGATGACTGGTACCAGCGGTGTCAAGATCGGCCTCTGTGGAGGAGGCTCGTAAAGGACGCTACTGGGCAGTTGGAGGCAGTCGCCCTCCAACAACAACGAAGGGCGGAGGAGCGACGCTCACAACAACGAGCGGAGCGCCGGGTGGCTAAAGCACAGCAGGTTGGCACAGTAGGGGGCACAGGTGGTGCATCAGCCAGTCATCTCAGTCATCTCAGTCAGTCGACCCGTGGCACCTGGGTCTGCCCTGTGACCTCCTGCCAGCGGGCGTTCGACACTTCACGTGGCCTCAAGGTGCACATGGCCTGGCACAAGCGTCGTGGTGACGTCACCGCCACTTAGTGGCGAATGGCGATTGTTGTTGTGTGTCAGTGTCTGTGTGTGTGTCAGTGTGTGTGTGTGTGTCAGTGTCTGTGTGTGTGTCAGTGTCTGTGTCAGTGTCTGTGTGTGTGTGTGTCTGTCTGTGTGTCTGTCTGTGTGTGTCAGTGTCTGTGTGTGTGTGTCTGTGTGTTTCAGTGTCTGTGTGTGTGTCTGTCTGTGTGTGTCTGTGTGTGTGTGTGTCAGTGTCTGTGTGTGTGTGTCAGTGTGTGTGTC